ATACAGGGTGTTTATAAAGTCCCGGACCCATTTTGATGTTTAATAACTCATAAAATAATAAAGATAAATTAAAATTAATAACATAAATGATTAGATAGACTCAAAAAGTTTCATGACCCTTGTCAATGAACTTCCACATGTGCTCCCTTCGTCGCACGGAGAATATCAAGTTGATAGTCAATTTGATGCCAGGCAGCGGAGGCTATTGCGGTCATCAATGTTCGACACGATCCTCCTGTGATTGCAGAATGTGTGGTGTGGACTTATACACGGCCGAGTCATTGGGCCTTTCTTTTTTACAGAAAAGACAGTCTCATCAGTCGTATACTTAGACATGTTGGAAAACTTTGTATTTCCACAACTAGAAGAGCTTCAGCCACATCTCTTTTTGCAACAAGATGGTGCACCACCTCATTGGGGTATCATCGTTCGTAGTTCTTTGAATGACCATTTTCCAGGAAGATGGATTGGGCGAGGAGGTCCAATTCCTTGGCCACCCAGATCACCTGATATAATGCCGCTGGACTTTTATCTTTGGGGATTTATAAAGGACAATGTTTACAGGAGGATCGTGTCAAACATTGATGACCTAAAAGCCAGAATTACAACCGCAATAGCCTCTGTGGATGCCGACATGCTTACCGCTACCTGGCGTGAAATTGACAATCGACTTGATATTTTCCGTGCGACAAAGGGGGCACACATGGAAGTTCATTGTCAAGGGTCATGAAACTTTTTGAGTCTATCTAACCATTTATGTTATTAATTTTAATCTATCTTTATTATTTTATGAGTTATTAAACATCAAAATGGGTCCTGAACTTTATAAACACCCTGTATATATAATAATATTTTTTTAAATTAAATTAGTAGCTGAATAATATTTTTCATTTAATTTTAATTTTTTAGAAATAAAAACAAGCTATTTTTACGATTTTAAGCGTTTGTAAACATTTTAATTAAGTAAATTTACTAATCATAAACTTTGAAAATTTAGGAATTTGTGACATTATTTTAATGTTATTTCTCCTCTTACTTGCAAGTTGACATAAGTAGCTAATTTTCTATTAAACATATTAGCCATTTAATATTTCAAACTTGTTATACCGCATGCTTTATAATTTGATAACTTATTCCAAATATTTTGAGTGGAATTTTGTGGTAATTAACAAATGTTTCTTACTTCTAAGAACGTTTTTTTAATTCTTTCTTCTGGTTAATAAGAAAAAACAGTCATTTTCTTCATATTACAGTGTACCATGTTTTTTTTGTATGTATTTTATATTATTATTTTTTTTGGTGCAGCTAATCGAAGGAAAATTATGTATCTTGTTTTTTTGTCTGAAAACTTTCTACTTATTCAAATTCTTTGTCAAACATAAATGCATTAATGAGATAAAAAAGAAAGTGAAACAATTACCTCCCTTAATTTTTCCAAATTTTATGTACTATTTTTACATCTATACCAGTCTTTATATTCAATAATAAAAAATTGTATGAAACTTTATAGTTTTTTTTAACATGAAAGCTTAAAAAACTATAGAATTATAGAAAAATCAATGTAATTAAGTTAGTAATATTATTGAGGTAACTAGAAACTCACATAACATCAGGGCTTTGTTCTAGTTACATTATGAATTTTGTATAATCTTTTAATTGAGATTCATAATTAAACATTCGGAATTTTTAGGAAGAAATTGATGTCAATACACTCAGGGAATTTTTAGAAAATATTAGGTAAGTCGAGTCTATTTAATGAAAACAAGTAATTTAGCTTCTTCTTTGCAGTTTTTTTTGTAGCCTATTCAACATATATTTATATATATGGGTCATTCTCACCAAAACTGTCATTTTTCAGTTCATAAAATCCCAAAAAAGTAAAGTGAATAAAAAGCTCTGAAACTTTTTATATTAATAGAAATATGTAATGGCATTATAAAGAAAGTATATATCCTATAAATTATACTTAATATTTAAATTAATTAATTTTTTAAATAATTAATTTATAATTATTTATTTATAATAATTAATAATTAATTAATTAATTTAATAAATAAATTAATTAATTTAATAAATTAATTTATTAATTTTTTAATTTATTTTTCAAATTAATTAATAAGTAAATTAATTATTTTCACTATTTAAAAAGTGAGGGAATGACACTAATAGTGAGGGAATGATATTTTATTTTAATACATGTTTTTATCTAAGTTACATCTACCTAAAGTTTGAAAATGATAACATACTAAGTATATCTAATATTTATTATAATTTAGTCTTATATATTTAATAGTTTTTACAGGTTTGGGAAATAAAATTGGCTGGCACGATTGAACAAAAAAAAATTTAATAATATACTCATCTTGAATCATTCCCTCACTTCAGCGTCATTCCCTCACTTTATACACTAGTGAGGGAATGACGAATTCAATAAAATTTAAAAATAACAGTTAGGCCTAATTAATTTCTGAAGTCAATCACATACAATTATATTCATACAAGAAAGCAACATATAATTATCCACTTTCTCGATGAAGTTGTATTTTATTTTACTCTAAAAAATGACATGAGGGAATGACAAATGTAAAAAATTTTACCTGGTTTGATTCATTCAAATTTATTCCACAGCAAAGCTTCTTTAAGTTGAAGATGGAAACATACTGCAATTTTGTTCTATGATGCCAGTTGTTAACTTCTGAAGTTTTTATTAAAATATTTTTATTCTAAGAAGATTGCAGGTGATAAGAACATTGTTGTGAGGGAATGACGCGAAACACTGGGGACAAAGTTTAAAATAGTGCTGTGTTAATATTTTTATCAGAAATTAAATATAAAATTGATTTTCTGAATTCTATATTTCAGTATTCTGAAATAAAAAACACAAATTTGTAAAAAAAAAATATTTTATTTCAGAAATTTTTTTCCTTCTTTTTTTAAATCAGCAGTGGGGACAAGTGAGGGAATGACATATTGGTATATTTTAATTACCTAAAATAAATAAAAAATAAAAATTGATAATTTTATTTTTATTCTTTTGTTAGCTTGCATTCTGAAGGACACTTTCCCTGAATTTTTGTTTTTCGTAAGCTGTAAAACTAACATAAAATATACTGGGGACATGAAAATGACTGTTTTTGTGAGAATGACCCATATATACACACACTACACTACAATAATGGAAGAAACACTTTCAGTTTTTGACATTTTTTAAAATTTCTCAAGAAATACATAACGAATTATTTTATAACTTAGCAGCTATTTTTTAGTTAATGCGATTTGTGAAAATGTTAAGATTTCAGAATTTTGAGAGATCTACAATAAATTGAGAGAAAACAAGTATTTTTTAACTCCTTATGTAAAAAAAATCTAGCAATAAGCTTGTAACTTGTGTCGATTACTTAAATTGTTTTTCTAATAACTGCATAAAGTTTTGTATGATTAGAGTACATATTTATGGGCATTTTTATAAAAAAGTAATTTTTTCGTATTACGTTTTTTTGTATTAGGTGGAAATAAACTGAATTTTTGGAGCAATTTAAGATTAATTACAAAACTGTCAAATTAAAATTTTAAAAAAATTCGTTACAAACTACGCAAGCTATGAGTTTTTAACTAGTTCTTTAATACAGCTTATGTACTGAAAAAATTTTAAAAATATTTTTCGTAATTTTGTAGTGAATCATATACACAAATACATGCATAACTGATGAAAAGAAATTCACACATTTTTTTTGAATCATAAGAAAAAATTTATTAACAAATGATAATACTTTATAATAATTGTCCGGAAACCAAACTTATATCTATAGAGAAAGAAAACATACTTTTGTAGGGAAACACCCACAATGCCTGTATCATTTTTAATAAATCTTATTTAATGGTGCAAGATAAAATTTGTGAATATCCTCTTATAATACTGAGCTTTCTTTTAAAACATACAAAAACTATGTAAAAAATTGCTTGAAACTTTTTAAATTTTTAAGATATTCAAATAAAGCTTTTATCATTAGTTACCAAATACTATTCTATACAAAAATTATGAAAAAACTTTTTTAAATTTTTTTCTGTGCATGCACAGTGTACAGGAACTAGGTTAAATACTCAGTTAAAGCAGTTTTTACTTAATTTTAAATCAACAATTTTGTGATTAATCTTATACCTCTCCAAAAAATTTTTTCAATTTCATTGGATATTTATGAAGTTACAGCAAAAAACCTTAGCCAAAAAAATTAAGTTCTTATAAAAATTTCCATATCTCCATAAATATTTACTCTTGGTTTACGAAACTTTATACAGTTATTAAAATAACAGATAAAGTAATCAATAAAGGTTACAAGTTTTTGGCTCGATTTCCTGGTGTAGGATGTTCAAAAATTCTTATTTTCTTTCGTAATTTATTATAGATATTCCAAATCTCTTGCTAAGCATGAAAAATCTCATGAACTAAACACCTCTAAAGTTACAAAATAATCCTTTAAAGTTTGTCTTGAGAAATTTAAAAAAATGTCTCTTCCATCATTTTAAGGTAGTGTACCTATATATATATATATATATATATATTTACATACAGGGGTCGGACGAAATAACTAAAACAATAATATACTAACACATGCCTTGAATTTCCC